TTCGTGTTCAGTGGAGAGGTCAGCCCGCTGAGGCATCGACCTGGGAGTCCGAGTCCGATATGCGGAGCCGTTATCCCCATCTTTTCCCTGACTCAGGTACTTCCTTCTTCTGTCCGTTCGAGGACGAATAATTATTTTAGAGGTGGAGGATGGGTCATCACTTGTTTTAAAAGTGAATTTTGCGTTCCGAGGTCTTTAAAACCTCTTTCGGCATCACCTTGATTTGTGTGCGCAGTCCGAGCGCGTAGTCGGAAAGCCATTTTATGAAAATCTATAAAAGATGATGAATTTTACATTTAAAATGCGTTTAAGTTGACTTCGATCAACATTTTGGGTAAACGATCCAGATACGTGATTGGACGGTCACGGAGGGTCCGTAGAAAAATATAGAACTTGGGTGTATGCCCGGAATCGAATTCCGAGGTCCCAAGCCCGATAAATGAATTTTTAAAGAAAATTATTTTCTGAAATTGTTTATGAGTTTTGGAAATGAATTGTGATTAAAACTTGATGGTATCAGGCCCGTATTTTGGTTCCGGCGCCTGGTACAGATCTTATATGTGATTTAAGGTAAGTCTGTGAAATTTGATAAGAATCACACTTGAAACGACATGAATCAGATCGTTTTTGAGAAAATTGGAAATTTAAAGTTCTTAAGTAAATTTCATGATTTGATGCTAAATTCATAGTTGTTGATATTATTTTAGTGATTAACACACGAACGAGTCCGTATGATATTTTTAGGTTGGTGTGCATATTTGGTTTGGAGCCCCGAGGGCTCGGGTGAGTTTTGGATAGGCCACGAGGTGAATTTTGGACTTGGTGAATTGCAGTTTTTTTAGCTGATGTGATCAGGCCCGCAGGCTTCGCATTTGCGAATCCTGGCTCGCAAATGCGAGTTCGCAAATGCGAAGGCTGAGTCGCAAATGCGGAACAGCCCAGGCTAGCTCTTCCTCGCAAATGCGAGATTTTCTTTGCAAATGCGATACGCTTCTTTTGGGCCTGTTATCGCAAATACGATCCTTTGTTCGCATTTCCCAACTCGCAAATACGAGAAACCCTTCACAAATGCGAACATAGCAGAGGTCGGGGTTAGCAATTGCGAACCTTGGTCACAATTCCCATATCTGCAACCTGCAATTTTATAACTTAACCGAAAATCTCCCATTTTTCACACTTTTTCAAAACCAAAACACTCTTGGGCGATTTTTCAAAGACAACTCTTCTTCCAAATCGATTGTAAGTCAATTTTAACTCGTTTCTTTCAATCATTAACATCTTTTCACATGATTTCAACTCAAAATCAATGATTTGCATGAGGGAAATTGGGTGTTTTGGGTAGAACCTAGGTTTTTCAAAAATTGGGGATTTGGACCTCGATTTGAGGTCCGATTTCAAAACAAATTATATATTTGGGTTCGTAGAGAATGGGTAATCGGGTTTTGGTTCGAACCTCGGGTTTTGACCATGTGGGACCGGGGACGATTTTTGACTTTTTGGGTAAAACTTTGGAAAACTCATTTTCGTGCAATGGAATTAATTCATTTAGCGTTTATTGATGTAATTAAGTAACTTGTGGCTAGATACGAGCAAGTTGGTGGTAGAATCAAGGGGTAAAGCAATAGTTGAGACATGAATTGTGTTCGTGGTATCGAGGTAAGTATTTTGTCTAACCTTAGCTTGAGGGATTAGGAGTCGAGACTTATTTGCTATGTGGTATTTGTCAAGTACGACATATAGGCATGCTGACGAGTATTTATACGTTGGTGTCAAGCATGCTTGTGAGTCTTATATTGTGATTATTATGGCTTCGTTGTATTATTCATGCTTTGATGATGATTTCTATTGTTGGGCAAAGTTGTGGAAGTAATTATGACATTTAAACATTGAGGAGCGTTGGCTCGAGTTGTACAGTGAAATGTGAAAGTATAAGTGGAAATTGAATTTTTTAGAGCATTGGATCAAAGTTGTGAAGTGAGTTATGAAGTAAAAGTGGAAAAGAGAAGAGAATCATTATATTAACTTCCTTGCCGGGATATTGTTGTTTTTCATGTTATCTCCCTTGCTGGGATGTTGAGGTTTCTTTTGATGTTATTCCCTTGCCGGGACTTGATTGTTGAACTATTGTTCCCTTGCAGGGTTTCTTATTGTAATTTCATTTATTCCCTTGCCCTATTATTTGTGATTGTTGTTTGGGTGAGGAAGAGTGTTAAAGCACAAAGAGTGATGCCGTGTATTGTTTTGGTGAGAGAGTGTTAAAGCACGAAGAGTGATGCCGTGTATGATTTGTGAAGAAAGAGTGTAAAGCACGAAGGGTGATGTCGTGCCGCATGATGTACCATTCCATGATGATTATATTGATTATATGGTGAGGACGAGAGTAAAAGCACGAAGGGTGATGCCGTGCACATTTTCATTACTTGATTGCTTTGGTGAGGACGAGAGTAAAAGCACGAAGGGTGATGCCGTGCATTTATTGAATTCTGATTCTTTATTGATATCTGAGATATGTTGTTTCTTTCAATTTCCAGATGTCTTTCTATTCTAAATTGATAGTTCCCCGCAGCATGTTACCCCTCCCATACTTGACCGTATATTTCTGTTCTTCTTTTCCGCTGTATATAGTTAAATTGCACAGGTTTATTTGGTAGTCTGGTCCTAGACTCGTCACTACTTCGCCGAGGTTAGGCTAGGCACTTACCAGCACATGGGGTCAGTTGTGCTGATACTACACTGCACTATGTGCAGATTCCGGAGCAGCATCATTTGGACCGTAGATAAGGTGGCTGCCTTTAGTCCACGTGGAGATCCAAGGTAGACCTGTAGGCGTCCGCAGGCCCTGGCGTCTCCCTCTATCCTTTTATTCTCGTTTCATTTCCTTAATTCAGAAACAATGTATCGTTTCTTTTTAAGACTTTGTATGTAGCATTCTTAGATCGTTTATTCCCGTTTCATTTCCTTAATTCAGAAACAATGTATCGTTTATTTTTCAGACTTTGTATGTAGCATTCTTAGATCGTCTATGAACTGTGACACCAATTCTGGGTAGTAGAGGTTCAAATAATTGTATTGGATTCATGTTCAGACAGTTTATTGCGTTTTCTCCCGCTTATGTTAAATTCCGCTGTTTAAATGTTATTGCTTCACAATTGTTAAGGAATATAAAATGGGTAAAAAAGTAATTTGTTCAATTGTCGGCTTGCCTAGCTCATATCAGTAGGCGCCATCACGACTCCCGAGGGTGGAAAATCCGAGTCGTGACAAACTGCCATGATAAATAATCACATTTCAGGAATCTCATAGGCAGTCTATGCCTTCTAGAAGTTGTAAGACTACAGTTCTACCAACAAAAGAAAGTAAACATAGCAGTCCAAAACGGAGTAGAAGAAATAGTTGTGCATCCAAACAGTAGACTGTTGTCATTACAAACAATCTTTCTTTATGAATAGTAATAAATGTTTTATCCATAGGGTAAAATTTAAATTCTCATTCCCAAATCAGTGTTCGAATGGGGTGGTATCAACCAGCATAGACAGTTGAGGCAACAATCATCAGTGAACAGCAGACAGTGGTAGGAAAATTTATCAGTCCTAGTTGAACCAAAAAGAACACTACACCACGCAGAAGCTATTTTTGTAAGACGCTAAGAAACTTCGAAATGGACATTTGCTGCTTCTCTGAGAGAAAATGCCACTATAGGCATGCCAACATCCTTGAGAGTTGAGACAATCTAGAAATGTGGCAATTTTGGGAGGCAATTCTCCATGATGATTCTATAACACCTTGCAGTACATAACAGTAGTTCTAAATCATTTGCACAGTCATATTGCAAAAGCATCAAGGTGAAAGATGTGAATGACAGGTTTACTTTGCACGCAAGGATTTCAAAACCTCAGAAGTTCCTTCTGTTCACAAAGATCAATAAAAAAAACTAATAGACTTCCACTGTTTTTTTCATTAACTCTTCATGAGCAAACTTTGCTTTTTAAATTCACAGGCATTTCATGTAATTTAAGTAAGTATCTTAAAGCCAAATCTCACAATGACAGATGACAATGTTTCATATATTAACTTAACTGAATGGGAACAAATCCAAAACCGAACAACTTTGAACAGAATTGCCATCAACGAAATACATTTTCAATGTATTCCAAGTTTTTCACTAACCAATTGAAGGTTTGCTAAACAATTTCTTATAGTAGTTATGATCAGTTTGATATATCATAAAATGTACTAAATAAATAAGAACAACAACAACAACCCAGTGAAAACCCACAACAGCAAACAAATAAAGTTTATAATTTTCCAGTATATTTGGATCTGGGATTTATTAGACCATGATGTGTTTGACAATGTCTTTCCAATGGGAAAAAATAAGAATTAGTTGTCTAATCCTTTATAACTTACCTATAATAGCTGATGAATAAATCACAAGTTAAATCTTAATCGGGCAAAGCTATGATTTCGATGAGGGAAAACAAAAAGTTACCAACTTCTATAAGATTACTTTTTTCTCATTTGACGAAAAAGTAAATAAGCAGAACTCAACATGTCAAAACTATAATATACTCAATAACAACCAATAAGCACTTCAAACGCAAATGTGATTAGATTTTATGCATTCAATCATTAATAACCATAAAAACTAAAGGCACCCGTGATGAGAAAATGATGCCATAAATTACCTCTGTTGCAATGTGACGTGGGTCTGGAATAAACCTTAAATCTAATTAGTTTGATGTTTTTTCAAAAACCCTGTCGCAAGTTTTGTAAAGATAATCTATTGTAGCGTTTGAATCACATTCCACCATAGCATAATAATATCTGCATAATACAAAAGAAGCAACTTTAAAAAGAAAACCATGGGAGATATAATGAAAGACATATAAACTATGAAACACATAATAGAGGAGCATAAGGAAAGAAGGAGAAGAAGCAGAATAAATTTCAAAAATGGTTTGTCAGTAATTTCTCACTTTTAATCAGCAAAAATTGCAAGAATCAGTCAAAGATACAAAAACAGAACGATATTGTCACCTAAGCTGACTAATTTCATAAGTACGTAATTTCTCATTATTACTGAGAATTTATTGGATTAACGACCAAACAGCTATAGAAGAATGCTAGTCCATAATGGCATATTGGCCTATCTAATCGTAACTCGAATCGAGCCAAATAGAATCCAATTCATAGATAAACATTGAAAGTAATAAAGTTGGTATCAAATATAAGATAGATAGATAGATATTTAACTATCATTATGAAAGAATAAATACCCTTTGTTAGCTTACGTGTGTCTCGTGCACACCTGAATCCAGCAATCTTTGTCTTTAGATGTTCTAATTCAGGTATTGTTGCTAAATATATTAATATTTTACATTCTACTTGCTCAAAAATTATGCAGAGTTTAATATTGAAAAATACATAATACATTAGTTATGCAAAGATTTGTACTAAAAAGGTTCTATACATCACATTAGTTAGAGATCTATGATGCAAATCCAATGGACTGTTATGATCAAATCGAGGTGCAATCCACATTTTTTCGGTGATGGATTGAGGTGCAGTCCACATTATGACTACAATACGGTACACATAAATTTTATTGATAAATAACAACTATCACTATCATACATGTGAAACAGATGCATGAACTTACAGGGGTCTCCCACATATTCTGACCATCTTTTATTTATTTTATTTTGCAAGTTCAACCGGAAAAGAAAAAAATTCTGACTGCAACTCCCTATCGGCAAAAGTTGAACAAATGAATTTCAAAGCTAATCAATACTTCTATGCAAAGCACCAGTTCATAGCTTTTTTTCGGCTGCACCTATTCATAAGTATTTTTGTGTTCACAATTGAATGCTCGGCATCATCTCTTAACAATATACTTCAGTATCAAGAAATGACAAATTGCTATTCCAAACGTTCTTCATACACATTAAAACACACCTAGTAAATGGTGAAGGAAAGCTGAATGAAATAAATTCCCCTCCCAAACAATTCAACAGGCTGCAGGTCAAAATTTATGTAAATAGGATTAGTTTAAGCAATTATAATTACATTGTTTTTATATATAGCAGTACTAATTACCATATAAAAAACAGAAGTTCCATTTGACACCTTTCCAGGAAAAATTTAAATTTTCATATTGAAAAGAAGAAAAAAGAACAAAGAAGATACCTTTACTCTACCCCAATCCATGTTAACAAATGTAAGCATCTTAGTTTCCTCGTCAATTTTAGAAGCTTTGAAGCGATGATTTTAGGTAAACACAAGCTAGTTTGAAATAACCGAGAAAGGAGTCGAGCAATCCATATGTTTGAACTTCAGAGCAAAAACCTAGTTAAACTAAATAAGGACTATAAACTGCTCCCTAATATCATATCAAAAACAGATAATATCAGTTAAGAGAACATTAAATTATTACCCGAACAGGGTCCATTTTAGTCGAGTGTGATTCTTCATCTTCAGTTGTTCCTACCTTCATATTAACTCATCATTTTCTCCATCAACTTCAGTCACATATTTGCTTATTGTATCCATTCCCTCCTTGAGAAGTAACCAGCAAAGAAATTAATCTCTAAAGAAAAGACAAAATAGTTGGAGGCAAAATTAGTTTAGACCAACATATGTATCATAATTCCACAAAAATCCTAACATAGAAAATAATTAAGATAGCAATCTGTACCAAAAAAGCAAAACTAATGTATAAAAAGACAGTAATTGAGGGAGTTAAAAAAGGCAGTAATGTGTAATAAATTAAATGAATTGAGGGAACTCATTTTTGGGGAAAGCAGTAATTGAATAAAAGAGCCTAAGCCATTAGTTTCAATCCTCCCTTTTCAAAGGAACTCTCAGGAACTTGCAGTACACCCCTTAGCCATCGTACACTGGGGAAATTAAACGTATTATAGAAAATTACAAAAAGAGGTAGCAGCAAGAACAGTTAGAGAATCAAAATTAAAATAAAATCTAAGCAATCTGATTGGAAGCAATTTCAAAGCAATGGATATATGAGAAGAAAAACGTTGTTGTATAGCCTATTTGGCAAACCTGTACATAGCAACAAATGACTTTTCACCATCATGTGTAGAAACTGACAAATATGCTTCAACTGTGTGCGTCAACTTTATACTGGGAATTCCGAAGTACATGTTCCACAAAAAAGATGGGTATTCTTGTGTGAAATTGTATGTCAAATTGTATGTTCAACTCTGTTTAGTTCAGCAGATGGTATACAGTAACATGTAAAAGATTCACAAGAAAGCCTTTTGAATGATTTCATCATAAACTATATTGTATATAGATATGGGTTTGGCAGCCGATAAACTATATTGTATATAGATATGGGTTTGGCGGCCGAATTAATATCTTAACACAATTGGAAGCTTTAAAGTTGGCCATGTAAAAACACTGATTCTCGTAAATATATACCAACAAAATCTAATGTTTGACCTTGTGCTTTATTTATAGTCATAGCAAAACACAGTCTTACTAGAAATTGTGTTCTTTTAAACTACACTGGTGATTTTTCATCTTCTGATGATATCAATGGTATTCTCGAAATGAACACATGTGTATTTTAAAGTCACTGCTTGTAATTTTTGCGCTTATAACATGTGTTTTAAAATCACAATATGTCAATCTTGTGCCATTGCATAAACCTTCACAAGGATTCAAATTTTGTAGTAGTATAATTGGACAATTTTCTTTCAATGTTAATCTGTAAGGAGGTAAACCAGCAGGATTTAAAGAATGTAAAAAATCTTCATACTGACTTTGATCATTCGATTCACATGTTTCATCAATTGCAACAAATGTTTTAGCTTCTTTTGGAAATTTTCCTATAAGCATATCATTTATTTCATTTGCAAAATCATTTTTCGTCGTCAAAATAACGCGGGAAGTTACAGAAGATGCATCACAGAAGAAAGCATGCATATTAGGAAATGTTGTTTCAAATAATGCATTCAAAGATTCCAGTTCAGTAGTATAAGGGACGATAAATGAATTTGAAATTTCAATTTTGTTTTCAGAAGTATGAGGTTCTTTTCCATTTTCTATTCTCATCAAATATTCACAAAAGGCAGGATCAGTTTTTGCACGCATGTTTTTTGATAGTTGTAATTTTTCAAGTCGGAGTCAAATGTCAGAATATAATAAAATTTTATGAATAAAATCTTCTCTTTTTCCGTTTCGAACTACTGGTAGAGTTTGTCTAAAATCACCTCTAAAGACAACAACTTTACCACCAAAAAGCACATTAATATTCAAGAGATCTTTCAAAAGTAGATCAAAAGTTTCAATCATTTTCTTTTTTGCCATCGATACTTTATCCCATATAATTAATTTTGCATCTCGAATCAAACAGGCAAGTCAACTTTGTTTGCTACTATTGCAACTAAAGTTTTCATCAATGTCAATGAAATTTTAAAACGGGAATGAGCCGTACGGTCACCTGGAAGAATCGAAGCCGCAACTCCAGAGGTTGTTGTTGCTAGAGCAATAAATCCTTTAGATCGCACAGTAGCTAATAAGGCACGATATAAAAAAGTTTTACCTGTTCCTCCAGGACCGTCAACAAAAAAATTTCCTGCTCTGTTCGAAGATATTCTATCTATAATCACATTGTATGCCATGTGTTGTTCACGATTCAACTTTTGTCGCAGTAATAGCTCTTTTTCAGTAATGATTATGTTTCTTTCGAAGAATATTTCTCTTGCTCCTTTGGCAGCCGTTGAAGCCTTAAAATTTTCAGGGATAAGTTTATACTCATTAATGTTATGTCCCATCGAATGTAAGATGTCATTGAGATAGTCTAAAACTTTATATCGAACACTTTTTGTTCCTATGTCTGGTAAAATTTTGAAATCTTCAGACATAGAGTCCTCGAATTTCTCCCACAATTTTCTTGGATTAGCAGGATCACAATATATCAACAATGTAGCAAACAAGCGTCTCAAGCTACATGGCATTTGATAACTCTCAACTTCTACCATACATTCAGCTAAGTTATTGTCACAATGAAGTAGCCCTCTTTTTTGAGCTGATTCTCTGAATGTATCGCAACGTACTTCATTTACAGGTAGTAGGTCTTCATATGATTTTGGTCCTCTTATATTCATTAATAATAATCTCAGATAATATCTTTCACCTTCTGTTGGATGAGATGTTACAACACGTCAAATGACATTACCCTTTGTTCGACGGGTCCACATTTTATATTGTACTGACCATACAAAATATTGTGGAAATTCTTTATACAGTAGATTGAGCTTTATTGCATCTTTATTTGTTTTGTTCATATCAAAAAATTCTGTTAACATTGTTTTTCTAATCATAGGATTATTCATAATTGAGTTTATACTCGATGCACTCCTAAAAGAAACAAATTGTTGTCCTTCAAGATGTAACTGAAGATGATAAACAGCTGGTGTCATTTCATTAATAGGGAAACCAAAGCCTCAGGCGGTGATACCCATCGAGCAGACTGATATTCTTTTATTTCATCTACTTCAACATTTGCGACATTATCATGTATGTGAAATGCGATTTTATCATGTCCTTTGCAGATGTAGTTATAAATATATTTAACAGCTTTAATATCTGAACAAATTTCAACATTTATGTGACAATTGAATTTTCCAAGTAAGAATGGATTATAAGGGACAACCCATGAGTTATCAAAATAGTGATCTTTGACTTTCACAAGTCCTGTGTTCCATCTTCTATAAATTGGGTAAGAATTTTTTCCTTTTGATGTTTGATCAGCAAAGCTTCTTGGATATTTGAATTTGTAACAATCTTTTTTCCTTTGCATCCATGAATTTGTAGGGTTTAACTTACCACAAGGTCCATGCATCATATGTTGGAGAACAAGTTTACATAAGGTTTCTTCAGTTTTACAATCAGGTAGCTCAGCACAAACAATATTGTCATGAGATTCTGGAGTGAATAGTTTGTATTCATTAGTAAGTACAACAACAACAACGACCCAGTATAATCCCACAAGTGGGGTCTGGGGAGGGTAATATATATGCAAACTTTACCCCTATCCCGAGGGGCAGAGAGACTGTTTCCAGGAGACCCTCGGCTCCTGGAAACATTACTAATGTATTCATAAGTAAGTATAATAAGGAAACGAGCATGTGGTAAACCACGTTTTTGAAATTCTACAGTATACATAAGAGCTGCAACTTTTCCAAAGATATTTCTTTTTAATATATCTGTTTTTAGTTCTTCTCTTTGCTCTAAAAACTCGACTAATTAAATCAGGTATGTTTTGTGCCTCGCCAGTTGATAGCAAGTGCTCTTTTATCTCGGGCCAAGATGGGTTACAAGTCATCGTTACGAATAGATCAGGCTTTCCAAATTGTTGTACCAAAGAAATAGCATCCATGTAGTGTCGACGCATGTCTCTTGGTCCTCCTATAAAAGTAATAGGAAGGAATGTTTGTTTTCCTATATTTGAAGCGTCTCTTTCAGGGAAGTCTTAAAACATCAATGAGTCCTTGTAGCATTTCTATCCTAAAGAGATCTGGGTTGAATGAGAAAAAGTCCAATCTCTGTGTTTCAAGTTTTATGTGTTCATCTACTGAATATTGTTGAAATAATCTTCCAGAATGAAAAGTTTCATTTGTTTCATCTTCTCTCATTTGGAATTTATAACAGTAATATTCACGAACAGAGATATTATCTCTTTTTCATTTTCCTTTTTCAAGATTCTGAGCTTCTGTGTCAAGGTATCCATCAACAGAACACATATTTTTAATACTTGGTAATTCTTCGTGTTCACAATAGGCTCGACGTTTAGAAGTATTTTTTGGTTGTATTATTTTTTTAGTGCCACAGTGCCATCCACTTTGACCATATAGAAATAATAGTGGATACTGTAGCAGATCATAACATCCGTAATAGTAGTTCACTATTTGAGATCTATTGCTATGAGTGTAGATTCGAATATGAGGTGCAGAACTAACTTCAGTGATTTCTTTTTCAACCCATATTCCTGCAACTTCTGATGTAGTAGGAAGATTGTATACACATTGATCCAAACCTGTGTCAGATTTAAGTGCAATATTGTAGTTCGATAGATTTGGAACATCTATTAGGGACTTTAAGAAAATAGAGTATGGATTAGTTCTCAATATATTCATTAGTTTTTTTACTATTGATTCATGGATTTTTTCAGAGCAAGCCATTCTATTAGTTAATTCATTATCGTTGTCGTAGAAGTATAGTTGTAGATTGCTTGATATTCCACTTGGAGACAGCAAATCATTTATAAAATGGTACATCTTCCCTTGGATCTAAATGTATAAACACCACGATTTCTTTTTGTTAATTCTTTGTCATAATTTACACCAAGTGATGTAAATACAAACATATTATTGTATGTTCTGATATATGTTTGAAAATGTTTACATTTTTCCGTAGTCCCCAAATATAAATTTTGTAGTTCAGCAGGCATCTCATGTGAAACTAACTTGATCGAACCATTGTTACAGCAGAATCCATGTGGTTCATATTCAAATTTTTTTGCACCACAAAATTTACAATTAAGAACAGTCTTCAAGGGAACATAATCAGATTGTAACTGTCCTACGTATGTACAACTTTTTTTTAGAGTTATAACCTGTATATTTAGGTATCATTAGCATAAAATTACCAATTAGGTAATATACAACACTATCATAATAAAAGATTGGTGCAAACCTTTTTTTCCAACCATTGTTGAGCTCAAACTACTGTTTTCATTAGATGCACGTGACGTGGAGCCTAACGCCAAAAAGTAATAAATTAGCAATAAATTAAGATATTATGTAAAAGTCAGCATTGCATCCTTGATACTTGCCTACTTCAAAGGAGTAGAAGGGATAAGTTATACTCTTTTGCTTGTCAAATGTAACTGGTAAAGCATCAACAGGACGCTCGTTCGCTAGTAGGGGAAACACAACACACATTTAGCATCATTTAATTATACTCACATGCAAAGAGTGTGAAGGGACATTTCTACAAAAATAAATTTATAAAGGATGTGTTCTAACCTGTTCTTGAAACAAAAGAAGAGCCGTTAAGAGGAACATTTTGTTCTTGAAACTCAGTTGCAACTGCAGTAGCTCTAGGAGAAGCAACATTCTCAGAAAGACTACTCCTTTTTGTCTCTTGTCTTTTTGTTCGTCGTTGTAGTAACAATGCTTCTTTTTTCCCCCGCAGATATTAGTCTGTACGTTTCATGTCGCCTAAGTTTCATCTCAGCTTTCGATTTTGCGAAGCAAACATGTTTGTTTTTTGTTCAGAACCCATTATTCCTACAAAACTGCAATTATAGAAATTAAAACACACGAATTAAATAGAAATAGTTTACTGGTAGAGGTAACATCAGAAGCGAATAGCATCAGATTAATAAAAAATACTATTGAGACTCAAATATTTTCTGACCACTACATACAAGAAAAATTGTAACATCATCTAATGGTTCCTTAATTGAACCTGTAGATCTTCCTCAGTCATGGGAACTACAGTAGATATAAATGGAGCAACTTATACAACTCAACTGCAAGAGTTAGATAGCGCAAGCCATATATTCACTATGTTTCTTTAAGAGGAAAATGATATTGATTCCCTATATACATAAAGGTTCAACCAGAAAGGATCTTTTTCTATGCCCTTTTGAGCCCAGTTGATATCTTTCACTATTGTGATAAAACTAACATATTCAAACTATATAACGAAATCCGAAAACACAATCAACAGAAAACTATAATAGAAAAAGAAACAAACGAATATATGAATTGTCACTTAGCTGTTTGGAGACACCACAACTCCATAGAATATCCCTTTAATCTTGATCCCTTTAAAAAAATCCACTTAACTCTTAAAAAAATTGAAATCCTAAAATCGTAACACACAAGTAAGCAATATGCATAACCTCGAACTCAGTTGAATATCATAAAGCATATATTTCTATCAAAGCCACTCAAGCAATCAAATTCTGAACAGAGTAAAAGACAAGAGAGTTATATGCAAAGTAGCAAACCACTGAAACTAACAAGCTATCCACATTAACAAAAATGTAACTGAATTAAGCATCACACAACTTTTATTTGGCATATTTGGTTGATGATCTTTCTGCATCTTGTAGAGTGACCTAAACACCAAATTGTTGGATGACGAAAACCTTAGTAAAAAATCCTTAAACAACAGGCACACTACAACACTCTCTTGCAGTTTTGTAAGAACACACACACACTCTCTCTCAAACAGCCACTGTGTTTAGATGGACAAGGAAACAGTAAAGAAGAAGAAGCAAGTGCTTCTGTACTACTGTGTTGAAATGGAATAAGTCGCTCGCAAAATTGCTTGTGAATCTGATTCCATTAATCTCCACTCTATTAACTTGAAGTTCTATTCTCACCTATTTATTTTGCTCTCTTGTCTTTGTTTCAGCTTGCCATATATGCAAATTATAAATCTTTAGTTGAGGTTCCTCTAAAAAATTTAAGTGGGTCAAATCAAATGGTAAAATTGAATTTAAAAAAATTAGTTCTATGGAAAAAGTAGCATTCAAGAAATTTCAGTCAACAAAACACAGGCAAAAGAACAACCGTTTCCATATGTATGAGTGGTTGGAGGACGGTCAGAACTAAATGAGTACATGTGCTAAAATATTTCTACTTGAGTTTGTTATTATTGTTGTTGTTGAGTTACAACATTAATGGAATTTAGAGTCTCTTACCTTTTCTTACTCCCTACTAAGCTAACAAACAAAGGTTCACCATGTAATATTTAATTGAATATAGAGAATCAATAGATACTCTTAGGTTCAGGGATTCAAATACGTTTCTCCTTCCCTGGTGCCAAATAGGTTTGCAGGAAAACGGAGAAGAGCAATTAACATATTGATAACTATGTAAGAACTTTCTTTTGCAGTGTCAACCATTAAATAACACTAACTAAAGACATAAACTAGTGTGTTAAGGTTCTCCAAAGAGCCAAATTAGAGAAGCTGCTAAAAATAAGTGAAGTCCCTCGATCCAATAAATTACTTAGTCCAACTCCTTAGGCAATCAGGAGAATGAATTGAAAATTCAACTTCTACAACTAAAATCCCAACAGGCCAACCGCACAATTTGTTGATTTGTCAATTTCAGCAAGAAAGAACAAGTTAGAAGAAGAGTAAGCTTTTAGATCCTCTGGCATACGGATTCTGAAGACCCAGTAGAAACAATAAAGGGAAGGGGGGAATAAGAGCAGAGATATGAGAGAAGAAGTGTTAGAATCCGGGAAGAGAGATCAAACGGTGAGTTAACAGTTGTTAAAGTTGGGCTACATGTGTGGGCTGCAAATAAAAGCCATAAGATAGTATTGGGGCAGATAGACATGTTGACCATGAGCTGCTGGTTATCCCCATTTATAATATAAAAAATATATAATATATGTAGGACTAGTAAAAGTTGGCTCGTGCTGTGCCCGGGCCCAAGCATTAGGTAGTATATTGTGAACCTTTAACATGGTTGGCATCGTATTGATAATGTGTTAACATTATGAAATTCTTTGCTTGTGTTTTAGCTTTATGTCTTTGTTTTAAATTGCTAATCTAATTTATACATTATAAATTGTTATCGTTTAATATTAAAATATTGTAAGATTAAAATTATAACAGGTGCATTCTTATACATTGTCATTCACAAGATATATTTTGATAAGCTTATTTTTTTCCGAATGCCTTTATCTCTCTACTTTGTTACAAACTACGAAGGTTGTATTATTTTTGGTAATAGGAAGATCTTCTTTTAGAGTGTCTTTTGACGTAATTTTGTCCTATTGTGATACTACTATATTGTACCCAATATGTCTTAATTTTTAGTGTTGCTTATGCCAACTCTCCTTTCTTCTTGTTTTGCTTGAAGTGGGCAAAAATTATATGTTACGAACCTAATATACAGACAACTTATCAATCACCATGATATAAATAGTAGTATCCTTTTAAATATTAAAGTTGCATTTTAATATTTTAACTGAGGTTTTAAAAGTCGCGATCATGTAAAAACTTCTATTGCGCATGAATTATAAATAATGCAATGTTTTATCAATGTGATTGTCCTCATATCCTAATCAATTATTGGAAACTTATTTTTCGATTTTTTAAATTACTTTATCTGAACATAAAGTTACAGAAAAATACTTTAATATTTTTAATAGAAAAAATATCATTCCATGCGGTTCATTCAGATAAATGCATAAAACGTCTGTATTTCTAAAATTTAAAACTTCTTTCAAATATTAGTAAATCCTTTGATAGTTGAAGAGATTTTTTTTTTTTTTCTAATATCACAAAAATATAAACCAAATAAATTTATGGGTCTTTGTAAATGAATATACAATCCAACTAACAAAGAGTGCTTAATGATGATAATTTTTTATTTCTCAATGAGCTGTTTGAATATATGTCTCTATTTTAATTTTTTTCCATCATCTAAATTTCAAACAAAATGAGATATTACAAAGTCTACCCCTTTTGTTCTATTACGCTTTTTTATTTTACTTGTCTTTTTTCTTCTTAAATGATCACTATTTTATATGTATTTGGACCTGACATGTTTTTCTATATCAAACAAAATTTCTTTTATAATTTTGTTCTACATTAGATTTATTTACTCATTTTAACATATTTTTTTTGGTTCACTTCGTAAAGCTATCTTCTTAATAATTGAAGTGAATAAATCAATTGGAACACAAATGGTAAAAGCGACATTCAAAAAAGGCTTCGACCACAAAAAAAAGACATTCAAAAAGGCTGCAATGTGACGTACAAACTAACAAATTCAAGTGAGTAATGATGCGCATAAAAGTCTGGACGGGGAGCATTAGTGTAAAGGCATCTGCTATATTAAAATTGAAATCTTTTCCTATCTTATGCTAGCTATTTATTATAAGTCTGTGATATAGGCTTTTACCTTAATTCATGAAGATAAGAATTTTTTGTGTGTTTTTATGTTATTTATTTATTCAACCATTTTAATTATTTTTAAATGAATATAAGACTTATTTTAATCGAATAAGTATAAAGCTGTTATGATTCTAAAATCAACATATTACTTATCTTGGTTATGACCTATTGTAGTCTATAACCTTTTGCAGGGATTAAAGTTAAGCTATATAAAATTAGTGGAAAGATATAAGTTACTTTTTGGATACTAATCATTTGCAACGCCATATTAAATTATTTTCAACTAAAATTTTCAAGTATGATACAATTTATTTACAATCGATACTAAAAAATCTTCTAATAATCTTAACATCTTTCATTCAAAAATGTAAAAGAAAAATTTAAAACAGAAATAAAAACTGATTTAAACATATAAATTAGCTAGCTAAGGAACATATGATTCAGAAATGAAATTTTAACGTTGCTGCCGTGCGATTTCCTTATCTTCTCTTACTCCAATTATTATCTTTCTTATTTTCTATTAATCCAATTATTATCTTTCTTAAGTATTGGAATATTGGGGAATTTTCTTCTTTATTTCTTTATATTGAAAGTTTTTTTAATTGAGCTCTTTATTTATTTGTTAATATAATAGATATATTTTAATGTACATAACTATGATTTATTTATAATTAGTATCTTATATTTTATTCATTAAATCACCGAAGCATGCCAAATAAAATTAATTTAATCTAATCATCTAACTTAATGTCGAAGAATTAATTCTTCATTCAAGAGGCAATGGTTGTGAAATGATGAGCCGGTGCTATAGGTAGCAAACCAATGG